AGAGAGAGAGAGAGAGAGAGAGAGAGAGAGAGAGAGAGAGAGAGAGAGAGAGAGAGAGAGGCGTACCCAGCCCGGGTGGCTGAACGGTACACACAATGCAACTGTTAATAAACAGCCAATGAGTTTAAATGCTGATGGAATCAGATGAATGGTAAGCACACATAGCCAGCGATAAACAGGTCACCAGTTCGAGTCCTGAATGCTAGACACATAAACTTCTCTAATAATCCCTTAAAAGTAAGAAAATGAGTCCCTCATGACAGTAAGTAGGTGGTTTGGGGAGAGGCCCAGTGAGTTCTAGTCCTGAATGGAACACACACATATAGCTGTTGACAGACAGGTCATGAGCTCAAATCCTGAACGCCCTGCACATGGTTTCCCCTAACTCATATTCTAATGTAAAATTACCACACAGTGCACACACATTCTCTTAGTTATACCAATTCTACTGTATATTATTGCAGAGAGCCACGGTTGAAACCTAAGGCGCAGAATCTTCAATTTGGCCAACATTGCAGCAGTCCTTGCGTGCGTAATCTTTGCGTAGTCTTTTGTGTATCTCTAACCCCTTGAAAGTAAGAACGAGTCTCTAATTGTATATTATTGCAGCAGTCTTTGGGTAGTCAATGTTGGCCAAGTTGAAATTATAGGGTCAAAAGTCCGTCTTAGGGCCTCAAGAGGGGTTGCAGAAAGTCTTTATAGGCCGGTAGACCTGGGGGCACGGGTCAGAATAGGGCATTCAAGGCCTCCCAAAATCAGCAATAGGCCCTAGGAAACTCAACAACAGGCCCTACCGGGCACATCTGTCCAAGAGTCAAAGACGTCTCCAGAAGTTGACCACCACGGTAGATCATACGCAATCCAAAGGTGCAGAGTCTGACTCCAGAAGCATCCAGGACCTACTCCATCCCGGGCACACTCCAGCCGAGCTAAAATCTGGGTCGCCCAAATGCAAGAATCACAACTGTTCAAGGAGGCAATCTGAGGCAGCCCAGACCTTGTCCCAGCTCGGCCATTCATTCTAGCTTGCACTTGCTGGAGCTCTGCTAAGCACTAGAGCTGGGGGAAAGCAGGAGAGAGAGAGAGAGAGGAAGGGACAGAGGGAGGGACAGAGGGAGGGACAGAGAGAGAGAGAGAGGAGCCATAGCTAGAGTAGCAGGTGTCCATGCACCATAGCTTAATTGTGTGTGTGTGTGTGTGTGTGTGTGTGTGTGTGTGTGTGTGTGTGTGTGTGTGTGTGTGTGTGTGTGTGTGTG